TCCTATTTGTTCCCAGACTTCGATGAATTCACCCCTCGGAGATTACCCGGTGTAATTTCTAAGGTCGGAAAGTGTCGGCAAAAGAGAATCTATGAGGGCTTGGCGTGTAGCGACCCATGTCAGTAGAGGACAACTGGAGATGCTGAAGAATCCATCCAAGGCACTACTCGACAAAGGAAATAATCCCCCTCGCAAGGCGACAAGGCAGCTCAAGGACGAAACCAGTCACCTCGCACCACATCAGCATCGTGCCCCCACGTGGGCGCACGTGGTCCTGTCCCCCCTAGCCTAGTATAAATACTTATGTAAACCTCAGAAAGAGGGATCCGAATTCATTCTCTCTAAACTCCCTTGTAAAAGCACCCGTGCATTCCCCGTTATAATATAAATTGGGCTACAGGTGTTCCACCTAAAGTCCTACCGGTCAATCTACGAGTTTTTACCTTTCTTACTTTGCCAAATCAAGCAAACTATTCTAGACCCGGTCTAGTATAGTTTGACCGGTCAAGTAATTTACACCATCATATGCTATGTTAGTAAGCAAATAAAAGGAGAATCCAGACAAACAAAAAACTACTACGGAGTATTATTTGTTAGCATGTTCCAAATAATCGGGTGACCAAAAAACTTTTAAAACTAAATTCGAGTGACCGAGGGTCACATTCCCACCAAGCATGACTCAGTTCATGAATGACCCAGCCAACCTACAAGCCATCCAAGGCTTTGGCCAGGTCATGGCCATGTGCCAACAGAATGGGGGGATGCCTTTTCTCCCTGGTATGTTTCCGTTCGCTCTTCCAGGCGCGGGAACCATGCCCTTACAAGCACCAATGGCGGTGGCGTCGTTCCAGACGCCGGTGCCGCAGCCATCACCTTTCCAGCCCCAGCTGGTCAGCGCCATGGCCCCTGTCAACTTGGCCGGCGCACTAAACGCTGCAGGGCCGTCGCGTCCCCTGCAAGCTACGGATCCGCAGATCACTCCTGATGGTCATTGCGTCTCAATTGAGAGTGATGACGGCGAGTGGGACATCCCGAGGGCCCACAAGAAGAAGAAAGGAAAAAATATCCAGCCAGCGACCTCCCGAAACTCCGCCTTCGAAAGGCTGGGGATAGGGAGGAAGGCCAGAGGAAGTCAGCCAAGCAAAGGCTGGGGTAGAGCGTTGCCCATGTCAGCGTGTTCGCCCGGCTAGGCGAGGTGCGGGAGGCCGAGCCTGCCCGCACCCGGCGCTCCCGGTCTAACCGGCAGGAGCCAGCAAGGACGAGGGCCTCTCATCAGGAAGAGGAAGCAGAGAGCCAGTCCAGGTTACCGGTGGCGAACCGGTTGACCATCCCAAATGAGCGCGTCCAGCAGATGGAGGCAAAACTAGAAAGGCTGGAGAAGAAGGTCGGAGAGAAGAATGACCGGGACAAACCCTTGGTGGGGTCCCCGTTCACCACAAGGGTCCATCTGACACCTTTCCCGCGAAAGTCAAGATCGACGCCCCCAGATTCACCGGGAAGGAAGATCCAGAAATCCATCTGGATTCCTTCAACCAGAGTGCGACCATGAACGGTTGCACCGATGAAGAAAAGTGCCTTCTTTTCTTCCAGACCTTGCGGAATCGAGCCACTGAATGGTTCAATAAGCTTCGCCCAGGAAGCATTGATTCATTCAGTGATTTGGCCTCAAAGTTCAAGGCCAAGTTCCCGGAGAATTGTACTAAGAGGAAGAAATTCACCTATCTTAGTACGGCTGGGCAGAGGGAGTCTGAGAACCTTACTCAGTTCCTTACCCGGTGGAAGGAAGAGGTAGACAAGGTGGAAGAGATGGATGACAAGACCGTCCTATCCCTCCTCTTGAATGGCTTACGCGCTGGGGAGCTATACAAGGAGTTCTGCCGGAAACCCCCAGCCACGTATCAAGAGGCCTACCACACCGCATGGGAGTTTGCTGAAGCTGAAACCCAGCTCCGGGCAAAGAGAGAAGCTGAGCATGGTCACAAGCCCAAGCCGGTGCAAGTCAAGAATGAAGAAGCACCGGGACCTAGCCGGCCGAGGCACCACTATGACCCAGTCATCCGAGTGGTCAATACGGAAGAATGCTAAGAAGTCCGAAAAGCACCGGTCATTCCTCCAGAAAACCCTACCGGTCAAGTAGGGCGGAAGTGGTCGGGCACCTATTGTTCGTACCACAGGTCAGATTCCCATAACACCTCAGAATGCAAAAGTGTTAAGGGGGTCATCCGGCAGATGATCGACAGTGGAGAGCTGGGCAAAGATTATTTGCAGAAAGCCCAGGAGAAGAGTCATCAATGGGTTAGGCCAACTGCCCCAGGGGATGACCGGGACAACGACCGGCGGAGGAATAACCGGCCAAGGGAGCGACAACCTGCTCCCGAAAAAGAGCACATCGGCATGATCTTCGGCGGACCCGAGGGTGGAGATTCAGCCGCGCAGCGGAAGAACTGGGTCCGGAGCATTTACGTTGGAGAGGTAAGTGCTGAACCGCCCAGGCGTAAACATACTAGGAGGGAGCCGATCGTCTTTACTGACCGGGATCTCCCTCCTACCGGTGAAGATCACAATGATCCATTGGTCATCACCATGGACATTAATGGGGTGGATGTCGCCCGGGTACTTGTTGACACCGGCAGCAGTGTCAACATCTTATACCTGGAGACCTTCCAAAAACTCAGGTTGTGTCGAACACAACTTGAACCCCTCAAAACCCCTCTCTCAGGCTTCACGGGGGACACCGTTGAAGCTGAAGGATCCATAGTTCTACCGGTCGAATTAGGATCAGGTGAAAAGACCGTGTGGAAGAAGATGCGGTTCATAGTTGTGGACATCAGATGCGTCCACAACACAATTCTTGGAAGGCCAGGCATCAATAGAGTCAGGGCGGTGATTTCCATGCCTCATCTATGCATAATGTTCCACACTCCAGGTGGTGTGGGTGAGGTCAAGGGCGACCAGAGGAACGCCCGGGAGTGCTATGCCCGGGCAGTCAAGAAGATGACCAAGGGGGTCAATGTCATCTCCCAAGAAATCACAAAGGGAGAGACCCGGGAGAAATTGGAGCCCGAGGCCGAGACGGTGGAAATCGAACTTCACCCGGGTGATTCTTCGAGGATGGTCAGAATTGGAGCAAATCTTCCCGAGGATCTCAAGGCACAGATTACACGGGTCCTCCAACAATACGCGGGCATATTCGCATGGAGCGTGGCGGATATGCCCGGGATAGATCGCTCTGTTATTTGCCACCGGTTGGCCGTGAGGGAAGGAAGTCGACCGGTACGACAGAAGAAGCGGTACCTGGCCAGTGACCGGCGAGAGTTCGTCAAGAAGGAAGTGAAGGACCTCCTCAGTGTTGGTCACATCCGGGAAGTCAAATACCCGGATTGGTTGGCCAACGTTGTCCTTGCTCCCCAGGGCGACACATGGAGGATGTGTGTGGATTATACGGACTTGAACAAGGCTTGTCCGATGGATTCATACCCCCTTCCCAGTCCAGATCAAATGGTGGACGAAACTGCGGGGTGCGAACTCCTAAGTTTCATGGATGCCTTCAAGGGTTACCACCAAATCTACATGGCCAAGGAAGATGAAGAGAAGACGTCATTCCTCACACCCGAAGGAACCTACTGCTACCGGGTAATGGCATTTGGCTTGAAGAACTCGGGGGCAACCTACCAGCGCATGGTGAACAAACTCTTCAAGCCACTACTGGGAAAGACCATGGAGGCATACGTCGACGACATGCTGATCAAAAGCCAGGTATCTATGAACCACCCGGCTGATATGCGAGCCACGTTCAATATCATGGCAAGGTACAACCTCCGGCTGAATCCTAAGAAATGCGTCTTCGCGGTTTGTACCGGGAAGTTCTTGGGATTCATGGTAACCCAGAGAGGAATAGAGCCCAACCCAGAAAAAATCCGGGTTATCACTGAAATGCAAGCCCCTACCTCCGTTAGGGATGTTCAAAAGTTGACCGGTCGTTTAGCGGCCCTCAGCCGGTTCCTTTCCCGGTCGAAGGATTCGTGAAGCCATCCAAGAAGCCAAAGTGAAGTTCAGCCGGTTCACTTTAGTTCAACCGGGTTGGACTTAGCATATGCAAAAACGAGCCAAGAAAGCGAAAACTGAAGTCTGACTGGTCAAAGTTACTCGAGTTAATCCTTCAGATAAAGTGATCAAAGAGAACTTTGAAGTTCTCCCGGTCAGAAACAATTGGGAAGTGGTCTGATTGGGCTACCGGTCAGAATTTATAAGAGGCAAGAACAAAAATATCAATCAAGAAACAAGCAGATATGCAAGATCTACCGGTATGGAAATTAAACATGGCATTCAATTAAAATGAAAATGTTAAGTGTTTACAGCTACACCGAGCATCCCCGGGGAAATTTCAAGTTGAGGTTTTACAAACACAACCGGTCTAGGCCGAGGAGATCCTAATCTAAGGGGAAAGGGGGAGTAGGCTCTTCCTCTGGGATAGGAGCCAGGCTGTAGGAAGCCGCAGTGAAGGCCGGGTCTCTCTTCAGGAGGATCCGGTGGGAAGCTGCCCGGTCTTTCTTTTGACCGCACTTGAATCCGAAAGATCCAACGGCGGTAATCATCTTCTTTCCTTCAGGCTCCCGGTATAGAAGCCTGAAGGATTCCATGGTAGCTTCTAGGCTCGCCGTCAGAACCCGGGAAGCTTCGGCCTTATTTTCCTCAACCCAGGCAGCTGCGCGCCCGGGGAAGTTTTCTTCCTTCTCCGTCATCTCCCTCTTGGCCTCAGAGACTTCATCCATGAGCCGGCCATTCTCCTCATTCAGCTGGGAGATCTCGGTCTTCATGGCCCCGGCTAGCCCCGACAGCCTGATCAGCTCATCAGCCTGGCTCTTCAAGATGAGGGCCATCTCCTCCTTCTCCTTCGTCAGCCGGGCAAACTCCGAGGGAGAGCCTAAACCAAGCCGGTCAGCTGTGAGGGGTCCAATCTCCCCCGCCTGCACAAAAGGAAAAATAAGCCCGGTAAGATTTTCGAATAGTAACAAAGGGATCAAGACTGGGATAGCAGCAGAACTTACCTCCTTCAGCCTCAGCCCCAGATTGACGAAAGCCTCCTCGATGGTCTGGCCGGCCGGCTCAGGATCTGACCTTGCCCTCTTCTTAGCGTAAGAAGGGTGCGTGGTGGCCACATTTTTCGTCCGACGGCCGGTCTTTTCCTTTTCCTTCCCCTTAGACCGGTCGTCTTGGGGCTCCTCTTCGTCAAGGATTTCCACGGTCTCTGGATTGACCGGGAAGGTCCTGGCAGTGTTGGTTTGGGAGCCCCCGGTCTCCCCCGCTGGTTGGTCGTCGGGGATGGCGAACTCCTCGAACTCCATATCTGAAAGAGAAGCTAAAATCGTTAAGTGCAAGAAGAGACACCGGTCAGCTACGAAACACAAGAAAAATGAGAAATACCTGGGTGGTTTTGGCCCTCGGCCTCTGCAGTGTTGCCCGGGGAGGGTACCCCGTGCCCCGTTGCTTCCTGGGTCTGGGAAGTACCCTCACCACCCGACTCTACCCTCCAAACCCAGCTGCCTTGATGGAAGACCCTCCCGGTTAGAGGATCCCCACGCATGAGGACCTCAAGGTTCGCTTCCAAGTCAGGGGAGGAGGCCGGTGCAGCGTACTCTTGGTCGAGCAGATGGTCGTTCCAGTTCAGACCGGCCAAAGGAGTAACAAAGGGGGGAAACTCGATGAAAACAAATTTTTCCTTCCATCCCCGGTTACTCTGGGGGACTTCGGAAATAAACTTCCTACCGGTACGGGCTTTGAAGAATACAAAACCTTCGCAACCAGTCCCGCCCGGTAGGACTTCAAAGCAAAAAAGGAAGATATTTACAAAGGAATGGAGGTACCGGTGAGCGTTAGGTGTTATTTGACCGGGAAAAATCCTAAACGCGTGGCATACTTCGGTTAGGAAGGGGCGAAGGGGAAAAACTATGCCCGCATCCAGGGATATGGTGTGGAACCCTATCCTGTCCTCCTGGTGGGGTTCGACAATGTTGGGCCAGTTGGGCTCATACAGGAGGGTATACCCATCCGGGAGCCTCCTACGAATTTTGTTCAAGGCGATTTTGGATACACGGGAAGGGATGTCGAGGACGTAGAAGGTGGGGAGTATATTAATTAGACTCCTTAAGTCACTCCTCAAAATCAAAATTCCCATGTTTTCCGGGACGGAGGGAGTATATTAATTAGACAATCCATGAACACTCCTACAATTTGTATAAGTATTTTTATACTCCCTCCGTCCCAAAAAGATATTCCTGTTTCATTTTTTGTGAATCCTATAAAACACTTCTATACACATCTAAAATGCTTAAAATTTACTACATTTCTCATTTATTGCAAGTAGAAGTTGTTTTGAAAGTTTTTTTTACATTTGAGGCGGGATATAAGTGTTTTATGAGACGCGCAAAAAATGAAACAGGAAGATCTTTTTGGGACGGAGGGAGTAAGATTTATTTAGAAAATTTGCGTTTGGATGCAGACTACCATGGATTTAACAGCCAACAAATTAGCCTTGCAACACACCAGAAGAATTAGTATTCCTTTCAATCATAAAAGTGACTTTTGTAGACTCGAAAACAAAGCAGACTAAGGCCAGGCCTGGAAATTATACTTAATTCTTCAAGAATTGTTGCACAATTCCAGTCAAACAATTGAAAGATAATACTGGTTGTTATTCTCTTTCCCGGGAGAAAGTATGCTGATGGGTGTATTCCACCCACGACCGGTCAAAGGAGAAGACCGATTAGTTGACCGGTCAATCTCGAAAGTTTTGGAAGGGAGACTTAAATCGTCAGCAAAACGATATATAATCGGCCAAAAGATGACCGGTATACTCTACGAAAAAGTATACCGGTCAAACTACGTTGTGATCCTATTTGTTCCCAGACTTCGATGAATTCACCCCTCGGAGATTACCCGGTGTAATTTCTAAGGTCGGAAAGTGTCGGCAAAAGAGAATCTATGAGGGCTTGGCGTGTAGCGACCCATGTCAGTAGAGGACAACTGGAGATGCTGAAGAATCCATCCAAGGCACTACTCGACAAAGGAAATAATCCCCCTCGCAAGGCGACAAGGCAGCTCAAGGACGAAACCAGTCACCTCGCACCACATCAGCATCGTGCCCCCACGTGGGCGCACGTGGTCCTGTCCCCCCTAGCCTAGTATAAATACTTATGTAAACCTCAGAAAGAGGGATCCGAATTCATTCTCTCTAAACTCCCTTGTAAAAGCACCCGTGCATTCCCCGTTATAATATAAATTGGGCTACAGGTGTTCCACCTAAAGTCCTACCGGTCAATCTACGAGTTTTTACCTTTCCTACTTTGCCAAATCAAGCAAACTATTCTAGACCCGGTCTAGTATAGTTTGACCGGTCAAGTAATTTACACCATCATATGCTATGTTAGTAAGCAAATAAAAGGAGAATCCAGACAAACAAAAAACTACTACGGAGTATTATTTGTTAGCATGTTCCAAATAATCGAGTGACCAAAAAACTTTTAAAACTAAATTCGAGGAAATAGATACACAAAATGAGATATAGTTAGACAGTGGACTTATATAAAAAAAATTTAAAATCAATGGACAACCCCAATAAAGAAACCAACCATAAATCAAATATAAGAGTAGTTGTTATTCTCTTTCCTGGGAAAAAGTGTGTTATGTTAATGAACAAACAAATATTACTCACACCAAAGAATAACACCAAACCAAGATTTAATATACCAAACAAAAAAGCAAACTAAAGAAAACAGATTCAGTACACCAAAAACAAAGCAAACTAAAGCAACTTAGGTAGAGAAATTTTAACTGAAATGACCAAATAATAAAGTAAGTGAATGAATGAAAAAAGGAGAGGGGAGGAAAGAGGATGGGTTGCTTTTCATACCCAACAAAGATTCAGAATTGACAACATATGGCATTGATAAAATAATTTGTGCAGAGATCCAAGACAGGAAGATCCACAGTACTATGAGGCGGTTAGCGACTATATGGTTCATGGGCATTGCGGTGTTGTATGGCCACCGTCGTCGTGCATGTCTGAAGGAAAGTGCACAAAACACTATCGTAAAATATTTGTTGACAAGACATGTATAAACGAGGATGGTTACCAGTGTATCGGTGGAGAGACAATGGACAGAGGATATCGAAGAACAATATTGCTCTGGAGAACAGACATGTTGTTCCACATAATCGATTCCTACTGTTAAAATACAATGCACATATCAATGTGGAGTGGCGTAATCAAAGATCAAGGGACCACCCCGCCGCTCATCCTTCACGAGACAAACAGTAGAAGGAATATTTGTCAGGGTTGATTGGATGAAGATCTCCGCTTAAAGTCAATAATTGAACAGTGTGTTTTGGTTGTATTCATGGCAAGTCCATAATTGAATAGTAATTTCATTATGTACAGTGACCTTCCCACAAGCTTCCTATTTTGTCCATGGATGAACAGGGGAAATGTCACATATCCTCCTCTATAAATACGTTGATTATGGATAGAGGAGGGGATCCCATCTTTATCTCACTAAAAGTACTCTCTTGAGACAGAGTAAGAAATATAATTCGTACTGAGGAGATTTACCCGGTCTAGGTCATACTTTGTATTCTGGTTGTGTGTATTTACTACTAGTCTGTGTTCAGGTCAGACCCGGTCTACCTACCCAGTTATATTTACACCATCATACACCAACATAAAATGTCGGTGCAAACCTGTAGTGTACAAATGAGATACAAAACTTTGAGATACAAATAGCTTTGTCCTAGTAATATATACGGAGTAATTGCTATGGCTATTGCCCTAAAAATTGCTATTCGTAAACTGCCCTTTACATTCCACACCCTCTTTTTTCATTGTTTTAAAAACATGCTCATTCTCCCATGATGTGATAAGTAGGGTAAGAATTAGTAGGGTTAAAAGTGGTTTTTAAATAGAAAAGGGAAAAACTTGTAGGACAAGAAAAAAAGGAGGAGTTTAAGAGACGGAGGGAGTATATTTTATACTCCCTCCGTTCCCCTGTATTTGTTCACTTTTATTTTTACACACCATCCAATGCACTTCTTTAATCCATTTTATCTTGTAATTTGTATATTAAAAAATTATAAAAATTATATATTAATAATCTATATGTTAAGAAAAATCAAACAAGATCACACATGACTATATTTAGGCTTACACATTGAGAGAATTTGATGAGTCAAAGTGCTTAGATGAACAGTTCCAAAAGTCAAATGTGGATAAATACAGGGGGACGGAGGGAGTACATTTGAAATTTTATATTTTGTTATCATTTATTTTTAAACTTATAAAAAAATAATGTAAAGTCTGATGCTCCATATTGATAGGATAATTGTATTTATTAAAAATTAAATTTTAAAGTATAATTATATATGTATAAAAATTATACATATACATATACAAATATATATGATGCATTAAAAAGTATGAATATGTATGTATAAAAAGACTAAAGTAGGAGTATATACATGCATTAATTTATTTCTTTTGTAGGTTTTTGTTTTATTTATGGACTTTTGTTGTACATGTAAAAAAATAAAGTAGGAATAAAACATTGAAAATATACCAAAATAGAAGTTTCATGTTTTTGTTCCGAAATAATAGTTAAAATACATTTATAATGTCAATCATGATCATTTACATTACCCAAAAGTACTGCGAAATGTCCATATTGAGTGTCAGGCCAGTGCCACATTATCTCAATGCGAGCTCCTATTTTAAAGATAAAACATGGAGCCTTTATTTATGTACTTTCTCCATATTTTACCTCCTATTTAGGGTGATTTTTTGTATATTGTAGCAAAATAGGTAGGGGTGTGCATTATTCGGTCCGGACCCGGACCGACCAGAAACCCGGCCAAAACCGGACCGGACCGGTCCGGACCGGTCCTTATTCAGTCCGGTCTTCGGTCCTCAATTTTTCCTTATTCGGGTTCCGGTCCGGTCCGGTCCGGTCCACCGGGTTTCGGTCCGGACCGGTGGACCGGTTACATTTTATTTATTTATTTAAATATTTTTTTCTGTATAGTATTATAATATTATATTTTTTTAAGGTTTTTTCTTATGCCTAAAATTAATTTAACTTTAGTACTAAAAGTTTTTTAAATGTTTTGATTTTATTATTTAATATAATTTTTTAAATACATTTTCAATTCAAAATAAGATACCAATTCTAATGATTTTTATATATTTTAAATATGAAAATTGTGAAAAAGTAAACATTACCTTTATATTAGCAATCTAATGCATTTCAAATTTATATACCAATACTATCACTTAAATTTGTACTTTATCAATAATGAAACGATAATCCGCAAAAACAAACATTGTAAACAATCTCATGAACAAAATTAGTAAAAAATGTATCCGTTTGTCAAAATAAATCGAAAACTCAAAAAAGTATTACAAAAAGCAAAAATGAACAAAGAAGTAAAATATTCTCTATGTAAAATAAAAATTACGAACAAATTTTATGTAATACGGATGGAAGATATATATTTTGTTTAAAGTTTTTTTAAAAATTCAAAACAAATGTGTTTGACAATGTTTAGAGTATGTTACAATTAAAAATTAGTTGTAGTATTATTTTTATTCAATTGAATACTTTAAATTAAACAAATAAAATCAAATTTAAAAAAAAATTAAAAATAACATTTATTCGGTCCGGTCCCGGTCCGGTCCGGGTTTTACCGGTCCGGTCCCGGTCCGGGTTTTACCGGTCCGGTCCCGAGCCGGTCCTTAGCTTAATCGGTCCGGTCCTCGGTCCACCAAATGCCCCTTATTCGGTCCCGGTCCGGTCCCGATCCGGGTTTGACCCGATGAACACCCCTAAAAATAGGTATGTTCTAAACAAAGAGAATGAGTGTAGAATTAAAAAAAAAGGCATAGGCGTTTTGAGGAGTACTTTTTCACGGCATTTGCAATAGGAATCATTAGGAGAGGGGCAAGATGGTAAAATTTTGATACTCCCTCCGTCCCAATTTATAGTACATGTTTCGGTTTACGATGTTTGACTGAAATTATTTTCAAATCATTTTATATGACAAATGGTATAGAGTTAAAAAATAAAAATTACATATTAAAATACTACATCAAAAGATATACAAAACATGCAGTGACAATAGTACTTTATTTTATCAAATTGCTAACGAAAATAGAGAAAGAAAGTGAATAAAATTTGACTCTGTGAATAGTGAACCAGCATTATAATTTAATTTGGAAAGAAAAAAGTAAGGTAGAGCGCCAGTAACATTTTTGGAGCGAGAATATCAGCTACCTATTCATAGTGAAAGAATAATACGGAGTAATGGAAGTACCAATTGAAGGAGGAGCGTCTTATTCCCAAACTTGAGGGATGGATACCAAACTTTTTCCTCTCCAACTCCCCTTCTCTACCTGCTAGCTGCAATCTACAAACCATTTTCTTTCTTTCTTTCTTCAATTCCCCTTTTCAAGCAAAGCATCCATCTCCTACCATTCCAATTCCATGCATTCCCCAATTCTTACATATATAAACCCCACATGGGGACCCTATTTCAGCACAAGATATTTTCTCCCCCAGAATTTCATTATCCAAATCAAACCCAGAAAAATCCATTTTTTTTTCATTTCTATTTTGAAAAAGAATGGCATCTTCAGAACCACCTCGCGTGTACTGTGGTTCATGGTTGTTCATAAGCTTATCCCATTAGAACTTCTGATATAAACTTGCCTCGCTACCGCCCCACCCTAAACGTCCGGTCTCTCAGCACTAACCTCCCACCCAATTCAGGAGGTCCCTCTACTTCCTCCTCCGACTCGAAAGAGTCTTACACCCCTGATTTCTACGGTCCACGTACCTTCTTCTTCGTTTCCCACTTCTCAGGTCAATCTTGAAGGCTTTAAGAGGAGAAGGAGATTCCCGGGTTCACCAGAAAATGGATTTGGATGTGCCCAAACCGCCCCGACCTGCTTTGACGCTCTTGCAACTCAGCGATGGCTCTTCTCTGCACAGACTTGTGGTATGCTAAATAATGAAGTATATTTGTTCGACGAAATGCCTCTTTCACTTATTTTTGTTTTGTTCTTGTTTCTGAAATTGGAAATTGTATGCTCTGTATATTGTAGGTATTGGTGAGCTCAGAGCTGGCAAGTCCTAGCCAAATCCTCCCTACCGGGACGTGCATTCTAGTAGAAGGCACATTGCAGCAACCTGCATTGCAAATGAAACATGTTATTGAACTAAAAGCAGACAGAATTCTGCATCTTGGGACTGTTGAGCCTAATAGTTACCCACTAACAAAGAAACAATTGCGTTTGGAGTTCTTACAGAATTACCCTCACCTCCGAGCCAGAACATCAACGGTGATTCCATTTTCAATTTTTACCTTTTCGGATTTACTAACGCCACATTACCTGTCTGCTTTACATAAAATCCAGTTTTGCATTTGAGCTGTGATGTGTTTATAATTGTTAAGCTCAGAGCATTGATTCTTATTTTTGTGTGCTACTCCGTATATTAGTTGTTGGATTTTTAGGAGGAAAAACACTGCGAAGCAGTGTTAAACGAAGAACACGATAGTATAACGAATCACGTACGAAACGCTTTCAGATCAAAGTTATTCGGGGTATACGAAATACTTCAATCGGATAAGACGTTAATCAAGAACGAGCACACAAGAATCGGTCGCCCAATCCATACCACGAGACCCTATTTTATAGAGTCGAAAATTTCCATGATCGGACATGAACTTTCGTGTAGACATACGCGTACGTTTGCGCAGAAAAGAAGAAAAAAGGCGCGAGTTTGAACGAGGAGTCTCCTACGGTTTTGGGGTGCATTTCAACGTTTATCCACTGGTTCGAGTCCTTTACTGTTTTGGACTCTGAACACGAAAATCTTAAGGATTTTCATAAAGAAATAACGTCCGAAATAAGCTCGACCCCAGCCAGGGGCTCTGCCCCTTGGACCCCGCTACCCTGGGGCTGTCGCCCCCGGACCCCCGCAGTGAATTTGTAATATCGTTGAACGAGCGCGCACTCCGCGCCTCCTAACTCATTTGACAACGTCTATTTAAATTTTTGTCCGATCTAAGTAAATCCAATTACACAAAATAGACCGATGACACTAAAATCACCAACATTAGTTGATAATGAAAAAAATAGTAGTAGAAGATGATGATTTTAGCCTTTTTCCCACAGTTTTTCTTGATTTTATCAAAAACCCTTTTTGAAAACTTTTAGCCCCTTAACCTCCATTATCAATATCAGTCACTGTTTTAGCAATTTATGCAATTTCAGCCAAATTCACCCGTACCAGTTACCAGGCTCTTAGTATTATACCCTAATGGCATAAAACATACTCACTCCCTTCCAAAATTTTCTTCCTACTTCGACTTGGCACACTTGTTTAGAAATTAAATTCTGTGGTTGTGGTTTATTGAAAAAATGATAGAAACAATGTAAACCACAAGGAGCTTTTCTTAAAATGAAACTATTATAAACCACATAAATCTTTTCTTAGAAGAAATAGGACAGAGGGAGTATTATGTAAGAGTTTCTCATAGCTCATTAATATGTTTTTATTTGAAAACATGGGGCTATTTTTTGCCTCTTTCCCACTAAGATTGCCAATATACAAGCTATCTCATGTTACCAAGTTGCTCGGTTTTGCAGGTGGCATCTGTTATGCGAATACACAGTGCCATAACTCGAGCACTGCATGCCTTTTTCCAAGATAATGAATTCCTGTTTGTGCAAGTCCCCACAATTACTACCACCCTCACCAGAGGATCAAGCAACAAATATCTAGTCAACCCTATCCTAGATATCCAGGAAGCTTCCAATGAAGCCAAAGCTGAGTTCTCTAAGAATTTCTTTCCTCAGCAGATGTATCTGACTGATTCTGGTCGCCTTCATCTTGAGGCCCAAGCATGTGCACTTGGAAATGTCTACACCTATGGTCCCAGGTTTCAAGCAAAGAAATCGTTACCAGAGATGTTGATCGTCGAGGCCGAAATGGCTTTCTCTAAATTGGAGGTTTTTCATTTTTGACCGCCTAAAACATGCTATCCACCCATGCTTCTTGATTTGTCTTTGCTGACCATGTACAATTTTTCCTTGGCTTCCAGGACGCCATGAACTGTGCAGATGACCTCTTGAAGTTTATATGCAAATGGATTCTAGAAAATTCCACTGAAGATGTGAAGTTTCTTTCAAAGCGAACTGATAAAAGTATTGAGGATCACCTCCGGCTCATGACATCATGCTCCCCGGAAAAAATTTCTTACACAGAAGCCGTGAAACTTTTAAATCAGGTAAAGGTCTCTTTTTGTTACATTCATTCAATGGCCATCAGAAAATCAAAACACTTCCTGTATTAACATCCTGTTGCCATTGTAAACAGGCCACTGAAAAGAAACCTGGAAACAGCATGGAATGGGGAGTTCCTCTAACTGATGAGCACGCAAGGTAACAAATCATTTTTAATGGCATACAATATAATTTGTACACCCCAAGAAAAGATAAATTTAAGTTGCCATTATTGGTCTTTCCGGTGGGCAGTTATCTGGTGGACAAAATCTACAAAAAGCCTGTCATTATATATGATCATCCAAAAAACCTGAAACCATTCAACGTCCGCCTCAATGATGATGAGAAAACAGTTGCTGCATTCGACATAATTTTTCCGAAGGTAATCGAAAACATTTCATTGCTACGTCTTTTTTCACATTCACCCCTCGTTGCCCTCATTTATTGATACCAAGATTTGCACGGTTCAGTTTGGAACTCTGGTTAGCGGAAGCCAAAGTGAGGAACGCTTGAATACTCTGAGTTCCAGGTAAAGGCTCATTTTTCTACCTCCTCCAATTTTGTTTTCAACCATTTTTCGTGTTGGTTAAGAGAAACTTCAAAAAAAAATACAGGATAGAAGAATTTGGGTTGTCTAAACAACACTATAAATGGTACTTAGATCTTCGAAGGCATGGCACTGTTCAGCACTCTGGTTTAAGTCTAATGGTGGATTCTCTTGTTCTTTTTGCCACTGGACTCTATGATATCAAAGATGTTGTTCCTTTCTGCACAACTCCTATCTAAACCATTGCTTCACATCTCCAGTGAAGGAAATTTCACAAGATCAATGGTTATCAGCTCTTTAAATTAGTACCTGTACAGCTTTACTACATATGAATAGTGTTTTTCTATTTTTTTAAAATAATAAACAAACAAGTGTACAGAAGTAATGCTGTTGAAAGTTATAGTCTGTCTTAGATCCATATGGTCTCTTAATTATGTACACGGGTTCTCTGAAATACATTCCATTCTGTTCCTAAATACTCTTGAAAGTTAGTATGTCTTGAATACTCCCTCCGTCCAAAAATAAACTTTCCATTGCGCGTTACGATATTTGACTGAAATTATTTTTAAATCATTTTATATGAAAATTGGTGTGAAATTTTAAAATAAAAATTACATATTAAAAAACTATATCAAAAGATCTACAAAACTAGAGGTGACATGACTATATTATTTTATCAAATGGGTAACGAAAATAGGCCAACAAAGTGAATAAAGTTTAACCCTGTGAATAGTGTATGAGATGTTTATTTGTGGACGGAGGGAGTATATTTCTTTTCGAGACGATATTTTGATTATTAATATTTTAAATAACGCGTAAATAAACAATATAAATATATATATATATATATATATATATTCTAAAGCTATATTTTAAAACAAATCTAAGGATATTAAGTTTACATTTGAAATTGATATTCTCTCCGTTCCAAACAAATTTTCTTTTAAATTTGACAATTAAAAAATGTTGAAAAGATATTGAAAACATGTTTAATATTCCATCCGCCCAAGAGTATTTGTAAAATTTTGACATTTCACAGTCAATCATGATCAATCTTTTACTTATAATTACTCCCTCCGTCCTATATTGATCTTCCTGCTTTGACTATTGTTCATTTTTAAGGGATTGAATTTTTTTACTTTGACTTCCAATTATACCCTCCCTTTAAAAAAAGCTGTTGTGCACTATACTAAAAAAACTACAGGGAACCAAAAAACCTTTGGAGCATTTGTAAAAGAAAAGATCACAGCCACACATTGCTTTGTTCGAAGGGATATGCTAGGGGTACACGTGGTGTACCCCAAATGTACACCACTTACCTCTACACCATTTATTTTATTTTATTTTTAACTTTTTTTTTGAAATTTTCTTACCTTTTTTGTGTGATGATGGAGGGGGTGGGGGATGTTTGGGGTACACTTTTGGTGTACCCCTAGCATTTTCCTTGTTCGAATGATTGATTGTCAGATAGGTACAACTACTGCAGATTTTGGCAGTAGTCTCAAAATCAAAACTGAAAACATTTTACAAATAGGAAGGAAATTTCTAAACATTTCCCTCCAAATACATGTTGGAAATTTTAAGTAAATTGGACAATTTTCGGACAAAAATTCGGTAGGGTCCACAAAATTATTTTCTGAAATAATTATGGACGTTTAATCTCGTAAGTAAGACGAACGTCTTGACGTATTACACGCCACAAACGGTGCTCGGGTGAATGAGAAATTAATTCTCAAAGTTGAATGCTAAGGTAGAGTAAATGCCTTTGTCCCACACTGGTTTTTAAACCTTTCGTATTCTCATATTTAAGCTTTGGCATTGAATTAAGCTTATGAAAGGAACAAGAAGAGGACTCCTCGCGCGCCGCCGCCGCCGTCCGGCTCGGCACGACACGCGCGCGTCGGGGCAAGGCGAGGCGAGGCGTGGCGCGCCCGCGTCTGGGGCGTGGCTAAATTTTTACGAGACCGAATTGAACACGCGTGGACACTTCGTAATTAACGAAGTGTCGTCCAAGGGTTGAAGCATGCATGCATAATCGGACGAAGAGTCACTCGACTCTTCGTAATGTCCGACGGTCCAACGAAGGGCCAACTTCCTCTCCTATAAAAGGAGGGGTTGGCCGCAGAGATGAAGCACGAGTACACTCGAAAATTCTCTCTTTCTCTGTTGTAAAACTTTCCGGCGAATCCCCAAATTCCAGTCATCTTCTCTGGCGATAGCTCTCTGTCATTCTCGCTCGCCGGTGCTCTGCTCTACCGCTCTAGACTTAGCACGTTGCGGTTTTATCCTAGGAGGAGATTGCCCACGTTTGCCAGTGCGGGAGGCGGGCAATACTACCTTAAGGAAAGCTTCGACGACTCCGCTTTCCTAACCTACACCTCGAGAAACTGCTCCGGCGAATCCCATTTTCCGATCATCTTCTCTGAGGTCACGGCCGTGCTGTCTGTTCGTGTTCTCCCAGTCCATTCGAGCTTTCAAAGACTCCAGTTTTATTTTTCCTTTATTTCTCGTTGTAAAATCCAAACGGTTTATAAGTTCGGATTATTGTTATTATTATTTTTATTCCCGCTGTAATCTTCACAATCTTAAGGTAGTATTATGGACTTCGGATTCGGCATCGCGGGTTCCTCCGGCAACGGAATGAGTTCCGAAGCTCCGGTCGAAACCTCCTCTGTCGCCATGGTTGTGCCTTCCTCACCGCTGCCCTTCGGGTCAAGTGTGGGGGCCGCCACCATGACATCATTCTCGATGCCGAGCTCGATCTTCGGGTCGGCCCCTCGACCCATCCTCGGGCTCGAAACCACGGGGGACTACCCCGTCGGTAATCCGAACCCGTTTCTCAGACCGACTATGGCTCCGGCCTCGACAGTCAACTTTGGACCGAACGCGGGTTTCCCCGCACCGGTCAATCTCTTTGTTGGACCTCATTGGGCGAGCAACGGGCCTTTCCTCCATACGCCCAATGCAGTTGGGGCTATCTCAGTGCCCGCTAGCTCGGTCCAAAGGCCACCGAAGTTCAATGGCACGAACATCAAAATGTGGCAACAAAAGATGATGTTCTTTTTGACCATCCTGGGATTTGCTGAGTAGTTGCAGCAAGATCCCCCCAGCCCAATGAAGCCAACGACCCCCTTGTGGCGATGGTGAACCAAACATGGTACCACAACAACTATCTCGCCATCAATATTATTCTTGAAGGGCTGGGAGATACGTTGTACCCCGTCTATGCCGGTGCCAAGCTTGCAAAAGAGCTTTGGAATAGCTTGAACAAGAAGTATCAAGCTGAAGATGCCAGCACGAAGAAGTTCATCGTCGGGAAGATGCTGGACTACAAGATGGTCGACAGCAAATCTGTTGTCGCCCAAGCAAAAGAGCTTACGGTTATCTTCAATAAATGCAATGAAGAGAAAGTAGGCGTCAGCGAGGCCTTCCAAGTGGCGGCCATCATCCACAAACTTCCCCGGTCGTGGGAAGACTTCCAAGCCGACCTCAAGCTCAAAAGAACGGAGCTAAACCTAGAGCAACTGCTCACGCGGTTGAGAATCAGAGAGGAGGGGCTTGCCAGAAGAGGTGGAGGGGCAAAGGCGAATGTGGTAGAACATCCGTCGGGCTCTTCACATGGCGGGAAGGACAAGAAGAAAATGTGTCCTAAGGGTGGTGTTTCAAAAGTTGCAGGGAAGTGCTACAATTGTGGCATTACCGGGCATCGTTCCTCTGACTGTAGGAAAAAGAAGCCATAGAAAAACAAGAAGAAAACCACCGAAGCTATGTTTGCAGAGCTCGACAACCTGGACCTCTACGCAGTCGTCACCGAGGTGAATCTCGTCGGGTCAAACCCGATGGAATGGTTTGTGGACACAGGGGCCACACGTCATATTTGCTCCAACAGAGCATGTTTCACGAATTTCAAGAGACCTCCAGTGACAAAGTCTGGATGGGCAACTCGGCCCAATCCGAGGTTCAAGGAGTTGGAAAGATTAAGCTAAAAATGACTTCCGGAAAGGAGCTAACGCTTAACGACGTGCTCTATGTGCCAGACATTCGCAAGAATTTAGTGTCGGGGTCATTGTTGATCAAACACGGCTTTCGGATGGTGTTTGAATCAGATAAGCTAATCTTATCCAAGAAAGGGATTTTTATTGGGAAGGGTTACATTTCTGATGGGCTTGTCAAGCTTAATCTAATGACTATTCATGAAAAGATCAATAAAAATCATGTTGCTTATGTGTGTGAGTCTTCTAGTTTATGGCATGGTAGACTAGGACATGTTAATTATGCATCTCTCAGGAAATTAATTAACATGGAACATATACCTAAGTTTAGTATTGACTTAACCCACAAGTGTGAAACTTGCGTTGAGGCTAAGTCAACTCGAAGTTCGTTTCAAACGATCGAACGAAATACTCAACCTCTAGAGTTGGTTCACACCGACTTGTGTGATTTTTGAACAACGCCTTCAAGAGGGGGTAATAAGTACTTTATTACCTTTGTCGATGATAGCACGAAATATTGCTATATCTATTTACTAAAAAGTAAAGATGAAGCATTAGACACTTTTATTCGATATAAGATTGAAGTGGAAAATCAACCGAATCGCAAGTTAAAAGCATTGAGAAGCGATAGAGGTGGTGAGTATGATGCTCCACTTAATGAGTTTTGTGCACAACATGGAATTGTGCATCAAGTAACCCCACCGTATACACCACAGTCTAACGGAGTAGCGGAGCGCAAAAATTGCACTTTAAAAGACATGATGAATGCAATGCTGCTTAGTTCTGGATTACCCCAGAACATGTGGAGGGAGGCTGTTTTATCAAGTAATTATTTACTAAATAAAATACCTCGTAAGAAACTTGACAAAACTCCGTATGAACTTTGGCATAATAGGAAACCTTCCTATAAGTATCTCAAAGTGTGGGGGTGTCTCGCGAAAGTACTTGCACCACCACCAAAGAAGATGAAGATCGGTCCAAAAACAGTTGATGGAATCTTCATCGGGTACAATAGTACGTCGTACCGATTCTTGGTGTACAAATCAGATAATCCTGAAATTCACAAGAACACAATCATTGAGTCACGGAATGCAATGTTTTTCGAGCACATTTTTCCGTGCAAGTCAAGTGACAAAGCCAGTTTGTCCAAACGTTCTCATACTAAGATGATGGATAATGATGATCCAAGTCAGTTGAATTCCGATGACGATGATGAAGTCGAACATGAGACTGAACTGAGACGAAGTAAAAAGAATACGAACTGAAAAGACGTTCGGTTCTGACTTCATAACATATCTGATAGAATTTGACAAAGGAACTTTGTCATTTCTAATGGAAAATGAACCCGATATTCTAACCTGTTTGGTAGAAAAGGAACCACGAACCTATCAGGAGGCCGTAACCTCAACTGAGGGACCTCAGTGGCGAGAAGCCATAAAAAGCGAAGTTGATTCTATTCTTCAGAATCACACGTGGGAATTGGCTGATCTCCCTCCGTGGTGTAAACCATTAGGTTCTAAATGGGTCTTTCGGAGGAAAATGAAGCCTGACGGCTCCATTGACAAGTACAAAGCTAGACTTGTGATCAAGGGGTATAGCCAACGCGAGGACTATGACTACTTTGATACTTACGCGCCTGTGACTAGGATAGATTCTACCATAATGATCATCGCATTTGCATCCTTACAAAACCTGGATGTTTACCAAATGGATGTAAAGACTGCTTTTCTAAATGGCGAACTAGATGAAGAAATCTATATGGAACAACCCGAGGGGTTTAAGGTTCCGGGCCAAGAAAAGAAGGTCTGCAAACTTGTGAAATCATTATACGGTCTTAAACAAGCGCCAAAACAATGGCACGATAAGTTTGACGAGGTAATGATGAACAACGGTTTTAAGATAAAGGAGTCGGATAAGTGCGTTTACTTTAAGAACACATCTGAAGGATATGTTATTTTGTGTCTGTATGTAGACAACATACTCATCGTTGGAAGCAACGATAGGATGGTTAAGTCCACCAAGGACATGTTGAACGCACGATTCGATATGAAAGATTTGGGTCTGGCTGATGTGATTCTTGGAATCAAAATAATAAGAAGACCTGATGGTCTGAGTTTGAGCCAATCCCACTACATTGACAAAATCCTTGATAAATTCAATAAGGATCATACAAAGATAGCTAAGACACCGATAGACGTAAACGTTCACCTTGGTAAACACCGAGGAAGTAGCGATTCTCAGACGGAATACGCTAGAGTTATCGGAAGTCTGATGTATCTAATGAGCTGCACACGGCCAGACTTAGCTTGCGCCATTAGCAAACTAAGTAGGTATACTAGCAATCCGAGTGCCGAGCACTGGAAGGCTATAGTTCGAGTAATGAGATACCTTCGGTATACTCGAGATTATAGCCTGTGCTACGGCAGGTATCCAACCGTGCTCGAAGGATACACTGATGCCAATTGGATTGCGGATAATAAGGATTCAAAATCCAAAAGTGGATTTATCTTTATGCTAGCCGGTGCAGCTGTTTCCTGGAAATCCTCAAAACAAACGTTAATTGCCAGATCAACCATGGAGTCTGAGTTCATAGCACTAGACAAGTGTGCAGAACATGCCGAATGGCTTCGGAATTTACTTAAGGATATTCCAAACTAGGAAAAACCAGTTCCTCCTATTTGCATTTATTGTGACTGTCAGTCAGCAATAGGACGAGCTCGAAACAAATTGTATAATGGTAAGTCTAGGCACATTCGCCGTAGACACAAAACCATCAGGCAACTTCTCAATACGGGTATTATCTCGATTGACTATGTCAAGTCAAAGGATAATTTAGCGGATCCATTAACCAAAGGGTTAACCAATGAGCAACATGAGAAGTTAGTAGTAGGAATGGGTCTGAGAGCCCTACCCTGTGCTGGGAATGTTCCATGAAGGAAAACCCAACCTAGGTGGTACTTGGGTTCAATGGGACAACCTACTTGTGGAACGAAGCACGATCACTGTGGGGGCAAGCCGAATCACCGACTTGACACCCCTCCGTTCCTACTGAGATATAGTGACTCCTGAAAACGATGAGGTTAGCATGGCGCTTTAATGATTCTTGAACTATGGACAACGAGGTCCAAGTGGAGTAATCGGGATACTCTTAGTAGAATCACCTATGTAAGAGTGAAGTGCGGTCGCTTCAACAGAAGTCGGGTTGATCCTGTCTGAAACTCTCGCAGAACCAGATGCGTGTTCCACGACCATAATGGGCACACCCATGAGAACGGAATGATCGTTGGTTGAAACTTGTGTATTGTATATCGTCGTTTACATAAACGGCAGTACAGTTCAAAGACATCACGTTCTACTGAACAGCTAGTAGAGAAGGTATACCTTACAAGGAGTAGGTTCAAAGGCATAAAACCTACCTACTCTTGCAGGTTTCAACTTCAGAGTTATTGCCAGTTACATGAATTAATTTTCATTCATGTGGGGGATTGTTGGAAATTTTAAGTAAATTGGACAATTTTCGGACAAAAATTCGGTAGGGTCCACAAAATTATTTTCTGAAATAATTATGGACGTTTAATCTCGTAAGTAAGACGAACTTCTTGACGTATTACACGCCACAAACGGTGCTCGGGTGAATGAGAAATTAATTCTCAAAGTTGAATGCTAAGGTAGAGTAAATGCCTTTGTCCCACACCGGTTTTTAAACCTTTCGTATTCTCATATTTAAGCTTTGGCATTGAATTGAGCTTATGAAAGGAACATGAAGAGGACTCCTCGCGCGCCGCCGCCACCGCCGTCCGTCTGGCTCGGCACGTCAAGACACGCGCGCGCGCGTCAGGTCGGGGCGTGGCGTGGCTAAATTTTTACGAGACCGAATTGAACACGCGTGGACACTTCGTAATTAACAAAGTGTCGTCCAAGGGTTGAAGCATGCATGCATAATCGGACGAAGAGTCACTCGACTCTTCGTAATGTCCCACGGTCCAACGAAGGGCCAACTTCCTCTCCTATAAAAGGAGGGGTTGGCCGCAGAGATGAAGCACCAATACACTCGGAAATTCTCTCTCTCTCTCTGTTGTAAAACTTTTCGGCGAATCCCCAAATTCCGGTCATCTTCTCCGGCGACAGCTCTCCGTCATTCTCGCTCGCCGGTGCTCTGCTCTACCGCTCTAGACTTAGCACGTTGCGGTTTTATCCTGGGAGGAGATTTCCCACGTTTGCTAGTGCGGGAGGTGGGCAATACTACCTTAAGGAAAGCTTCGGTGACTTTGCTTTCCTAACCTACACCTCGAGAAACTGCTCCGGCGAATCCCATTTTCCGATCATCTTCTCCGAGGTCACGGCCTTGCTATCTGTTCGTGTTCTCCCAGTCCGTTCGAGCTTCCGAAGACTCCAATTTTATTTTTCCTTTATTTCTCGTTGTAAAATCTGAACGGTATATAAGTTCGGATTATTGTTATTATTATTTTTATTCCCGTTGTAATCTTCACAATACAAACATAAAGTCCACCAAAAGGCCATAGCCTATAAATATCCAACCCTTCTAAAATTAGAAACTTCACCCAAAAAAAATGCAGCTCCTGCCCATTCTTCATCTCACATGCCTCCTACTGACATAGAGTCCATCCCAAATATTCCTCTAGCCCAAAGGACAAGCATTAGGGCCATGGAGGCTGCCTTAGGTATTTCAAAGTCTACATTGAATCTTTGTATTAAAAGAGGATTGGTCAGAAGTCATTCAAATGCAATTAAACCATACCTAACTGATGCAAACAAATTGCAAAGATTGCAATTTTGTTTGAATCCGATAGAACCCATTACCATCCCATCTAACCCGAGGTTTAGATCTTTCCATAATATTCTTCACATGGA